TGGACCCCTGCAAGGGATGAGCTGATCAACCATTTTTCCATGATCGGACACCTGAGTGATGAGATGTTGTACAATTGATTTTCTAACATTGACATTGAAAATAAAAAGTTTCCTCATGCAAGTTTTACTTTTTTGAGCTGTATTGTACAAGTTGGACCCCTAGCCTATAAAAGTATAAAAATATCACTGAAGTCTAAGACTTTAAAGTTTATTTGCTCAACAGTACTAGTGTCCCAAGGGCTGAAACGATATCAGGACGTAACAGCAGGTCTTACATGTTTTCACGACAGCTCAGCAGTGTGGCCTTTGACATCAGGGACTCTCACTTGGCAGAACAGTCCAGGAAAGACGGAAACGACAACTCTCCGAACAACAGGGCCGTCGCTGACAAACCCTCTGCCCAGGAGGTCCTGCCTGTCCCCTCACTGACAGATCTGCTCTGTTACTCCTACTGTTACATCGGGGTGTACACTGGTAGGATTTATTTTGAATACAAAATACAAGTACACATCATACAAAAACATACAGTAGCAGCCATTATCAGCTGATCATGAAATGATGTATGATTTACATTACATTTCTAAAAAGCTCCACTTGGTAAGACTTAATGTAGCATTAAGCGAGGTGAACTGCCTTCATCATCTAAAACTCAGATGGTGGCTGTATACTTTAAATTAGATTTCCAAGAATACATGTAGAGGTCTTTTACATGTATTCTGAATCATATGATTGAATGTGTAAAAACTTTAGCCATATTTGTTGTAGTTTCTATACTGCTGCATACATGTAGCAAAATTCCTACAAAGTGTTTTAGAAGGAAGGGCCTTCCTCTACATATGTATGTTCTATCCATATATAAAATCAGGTTTTTGTGCTCTAATTTTTTTTAGGCATGAACTTATTAACACTATAATGTTTTCAAGATTGGTGACAAAAAATGTTTTGTTGCTGTATATTAAGCCATAGACTGATCCTTTACATAATAGTTTTAAAAAATAATGAATGCTCATTTTTTTCTAAACTACTTGCCAAAAGCATTGTTTTCCTTTACCCTGACAGGTCCATTCTACAAGTACAGAACGTACCACGACTTCATCCACCAGGAGAAACCCTCCTCCATCCCTCTCCTCCAACCTCTGCTGGATCGCGCCAAGTGGGCGCCTCTGACGGGGGGTGTGTTTCTCCTGGCGTCTCGGTACTTTCCCATCGCGTACGCGCACACCGAGGATTTCTACGCCACGTCCGGTGTCCTGTACCGCCTCTGGTACATGGTCGGGATGTTTCTCGTGTTTCGCATGAGGATGTACTCTGCTTGGATCCTTGCAGGTTGGTGGTTCCTTCTTTGTTGAGCTAAATGTAAAATGTAGGTTACAATGTATACCAGCTCAGTTACATGTTAGTGCTGTGTAACTAAATCCCCGTTCAGGTCTAGGACTAGATTTCGGACTTGTAAGTCTAAATATTATATAAACCCATACAGAAGGGACTTCTCAGTTAACATTTCCCAGTGAAAAATGGGGCATCTTTACCGCAAAATTTTGTAGGTAGCACTGTTACAGCACTACCTGGGTTTAGAAGCAAGATATGTTGTTTGCGGGGCACGTCTGGGCAAAACTGTGGCCACATAATTTACGTCCGGCGTCCTGTACCGCCTCTGGTACATGGTCGGGATGTTTCTCGTGTTTCGCATGAGGATGTACTCTGCTTGGATACTCGCAGGTGGGTGGTTCCTTCTTTGTTGGGCTATTGCACTCATTTTCGATCATGGAGAAACCAGCCATTTTGCCTCGAGTGCTGGATGATGTTTTTGTTCGATGTAATTTGTTCCATGTGCCACTCTTCCCAAATGCATTTATAACGTTACAGCATTTGACATTAGAACATCTTGACTTGGAAACCATTTATGCTATACGTCATGTTGTGAGGTGACCCTCTTCAAGGAGACCACCTGTCCAAGGTGGCCACTTTTCTTTGGTCCCCTGGGTTGCCAGCTTGGACAGATCGGACTGTACATGTATTTGCACTTTTAACAGGCCATTCACAGATCAATATTGCATTTGTGCTATTGTATTCCAGAATGCTCCTGTATCACAGCTGGTCTGGGGGCCTATCAGGAGAGCAGGAAACCCAAGTGTGGTCAGGGACCAACCAACGGGGGGACACTGTAAGTTATAGAACTGCAACTTTGGGCTTATAAATACTGTCTGTCTGTGTGTGTTTCCGCAACTTTGTGGTCAGCATAACTTCAGAACGCCTGTATGGATTGTGATGATATGATTGTGATGATATGTGGTATGTTGGTAAGTATTAGGAAGACAAAGGTCAAGGTCAAATATTGGCCTCCTAGGTATCTCAAAATTAAACTACACTAAATGCGTGTACAAACTTACTATTGGCTATTTGTAGAGTATTTGCTCAACCTTCTTAGCAGCACACTTTTTTCCTGAATGTTGCTAAATTGACTTTGTTACAGTGAACCTGGCAACAAATCGCCACAAGAGACTGGCTACAGCTTCGAGACAATAAAGAACGTGGACGTCTACTGGGTGGAGCTCGGCACAACGATTCGCAGCGGTATGAAGCACTGGAACATGACAGTTCAATACTGGATGGCAGAGTACATCTACAGGCGCGTTCCTTATAAGAACTTCAGGTAACACCTTAACACCTATCATGAAGGTTCATCTGTTGGTAGTTACATGTTTAGAGTTAAAACTTTAGATCCAACACAAAAAGTTCTCTCACCTAGAGCTTTTGACCAGTCACTCTGGTCTTCCTCAGTAAACTGACCCAGTGAGACTTGTGACGTCAACACTGGGTCAAAGGTATCTGATAGTGGTAGATGATGTTGACCCCCGTCGCGGTTAAGTGAAGGGTGATCGGCCCTGATGTCACACTTCAAAGAAGTCACGTGACAAGCCTTACTGGGTCAGTTTACTGAGGAAGACCAGAGTGACTGGTCAAACCTTCTAGGTGAGAGACCTTCTTTGTGTTGGATCTAAAGTTTTAACTCTAAACCTTAAGTTACCTTCTAACACACTCAACTGGTTAACACACCTGGCCTGGCCCGATCTTGAGATTTTAGAGTACATGTTAGGTTATACTACTACTACTACTACATTATCAACTGTACTTCTTGCTCTAATATACTAATTTTTCCATGGAGTCCTTTTTATCTGTTGTCATTCTTTTGGATGGAAACTTAAAAAGACAAACTGAAATGTGGATTAGTAGTTCAGTCTTCTTTTTATCTAATGTTGTTCTCTGGCTCAGACATATTGTTTCTCACAATCTCAGTTCTTCTATATTTTGGTAAATTTTTAATTTTTCCTCTGTTTTGTCCATTGATTCTTTTATCTTCCTGATGTTACGAATCCTCATTACTCCTTCTTGAGAATTCAATCGATCTATCAATATTGAGTTAGGTTTCCATGGGTGCATAATAATTTAAATCTTACTAATTACTGATACTTGTGCTTTTAAACTTTATAAATATTAAACCATATGTTAGACATGACTGTACTAATATATACTGTAAGAAGTGTGATAACAGTTAATTATGCAATGCTTGGAGAGAGACATAATTACAAGAGTTTAGTGTACGACGATGTATAACAGTTAACACTCACCCAACGTGATCAGCATGGATAGCCACCTCTCACACTGCATGTACAGCCATGCCCACTGGCCAGGACATGCAGCAAAACTTACAGTCACTTGTGCTAACCCCTGTCTTATGTTGCATGTGGGCTCTAGCCAGCACCAGGTTTTCCGTCAATTACCGGATTTTTCAAAACCAATCCGTCAACCTTAGTCTGTGTAACACAAACTCTGCCATCTGCGGCTTTTGGCCGGCAACTGTAAAGCAATTTAATCAGGCTACGTCAACCTTAACAGACAAAATTAACAAAAATCTTTGGTAAAAATATGAAAACATCTGAAGGACCACCAACAACCACACTCTCAACACCATGATTTGCCTCTCAAAATGTGGGAAATTGCGTTTCTGTAGGCTTGAAAATTTAAAATTGCCTATCGGAACGTGCGTCCAAACCCTCCTAGATTGCGAGCGCCTTTGGGGCTCCCCTTCAAAAATCCGGAGCTGGCCAGAGCCCTGCGTTGCATGTGTTTTATCTTTCGTTCGACGTTCTCTCCGCGTCTTTGTTTGCAATTTTTAGTTCGGTTTGTCGTGACCTCCCCTGTGTGTTTTTGTTCCCCGTACCGCCCCCCTCCCCCCTCCTCCCCAGGTTTCCTGTGGTGTTTGTTGCATCGGCGTACTGGCACGGTATACACGGCGGATACTACCTCTTTTTCCTCTCCTGTGCGTTGATGCAAGCCACCGAGATCAAGTGCGATGCGGCCTTCAAGTCCAGACTTACGCCCGGATCCACTGCTGCAAACGTTTATGGATTCGTAAGCTGGTTGCTGAAGTATCGTGCGGGGGAATACTACACCATGGCCTTCCTCCTGCTGACACTCTCCGATGGACTCAGGTGTTGGAAGTCGGTGTACTTCTATACCCACATTCTGCATGTCTTCCTACTGGCCATTGCTCATGTAGTTGGTGGGCACCGGAGAACAAACAAGGAAAAAATCAAGTAATCAAAATTATTGATGATGTATTATAGTTAAAATTTATTGCACGACAATTGTACAGTATATTAAATGTAGCTAATACATTCATACCGAAAATAACTATGTTGAGTTGCGTCCAATTACATTGTGTAATGTGCAATGGTTTTGAACATGTTTTTACAAGTTTTCCTCACTCAGTTGCACGTTGATTGTACATAATTTTGACCACTAGCTAATTACAAGGTTTTATCAATATTGATAAGGTTAAAACAGGAAGTTACACAGAGAATAAAGAATATTGATATTATATTATTCACTGTAGGTAGGGTCAGTGTTCCAGCCAGATAATTTTTCCATCCTTACAAATTTGATGGGAAAATCTGGAAATCTTAACATTCTGAAACGCTTTTTTTTCCGCATATGGTGGGGCAAATTTTGCAGGTAGACTAACTCTAGTTTAATGACATATCATTATGTTTACATGCTGATTTTTGCCTGTCAAAATTCAGAAATGATGCATGGTGCATGGATGCTGGCTAGGACACTGGATACTAGGTATACTGAGATGAAAAATACATTGCCTTACAGGTACATTTTTGTACAGTGGAATAAACAAAGCACAGAAATAAGATACAATATGTAATTACTAGCTGAGTGTAGATAGAACTTGATAGTAAACGTTTAAATTTGATTGCTGCATCTGAGATTTTTATGTACTAGGTGATCTTTAACCAAAATTGTTTATATTATTTAACAGCCATCATTTTCTGCTACAACTGTAAGGCCTTTGGTCTTGACAAGTTTTCACAGTAAGGCCACTTGAATTTTTTGGGTTGGTTCTGGGAAGGTAAAACTTAAGTAAGAAGTCAAGACAAAAAAATAGAGAGCTTGGAGAAAATCGTTACTGTAACTTCTGCAGTCAAAGAACCAGTAATTCAGCACCATGGACAGGTAGTTATACTATGTAACTGGGAAACTGTGGTCCAGAAGACACAATCAATGTTCTCTTCAACCTCATGTTTTCATTTTGATCTAAGGTATATAATCTTATTATTTCAATCTGAGAACCAACAAAATTGAATTTGTGTGGCCAAAAGTGTAAGATATATATGAAATGTTTGATAAATAACATTAGAATGATGTACTAGTAACTTTAATTTTTATACTTTTGCGATGTTATGAAATTAAAAGAATGTGAAGAAAAAGTGTTAAACTTTACAGTATAGAGGTTTCTTAATTATGTGGCAGATTTGATGAAGTTAAGCTGACACAGGAAATGTTGCAAGGATTTCAGCTGTTCCAGGAATTTTCTGTCAGGATCAGGTGATGGATTCTCCATTCTTTGCCAGTCAAACTCTATGACGATGCTTGTGAGAAAATGCATTCTGATCTGTACTTACTAATAGTGAGAAAATGCACACCGATCACTACTGAATATTAACTACACTTGCCAGGTACCTTTTTGCCAGCAGACCACACTCTGATAATCTTGTATTGTTCTCTATAAAATCTTTCTCTATTAAGTGAAAAGCATGAAAGCATGCTCCCCTTCCCTCGCAATTGAAAATGCCTTTCACCATCAGATATTGCTATACCTCTATAGGCATGTTTGAAATTAATATTAAGATGCTTTCACCAAATGCATTATACCTTATATTTCTGCATTTGAGTAAGGATGTTTAAATTTTAAAGCTGCAAAGCTTTTCTACAATGCCATGGTTGTTATAATTTTATGATGCATTTGATAATCTTTCTCTGCATTTGAGATCTAAACTTGCTGCCTTAATTGTTTGAATCATTTTGAATTTGTTTGCCTGCTTGAACTTGGCTGCATTACAAGCACTTGCTTGAATTGAAACTGACTTTTTATACCTTCATTCAACAACAGCAAGCATTAATTAATTTTGCTTTCAAAAAATCATCAGAATTCGAGATATCCATTATTTATTAATATAACAAACATTGTCAAGTGATGTCCACCTAAGACTGAGACCTGTAATTCATACTAATCTATTTGAAATAAAGAAAGTACCCTTATAACTCAGTTTTCCTTTACTATCCAAAACTTACATGTTATTTTGTAGCCTGTCAGAGTGTCAGCCTTGTTAGCTTTCCTCCTCAAGCGGGGAGCGGATCTTTGGGAGCGGACGAAAGCTAACAAGGCTGACACTCAGGCTAGTTACTTTGGGTTCTGGAGCCAAATATTATCAGACTGAGGCGTATTTCAAATGCTTGCTGTTGTTGGCTGCAGTGATGAGTGTTCACCTGACGAATTGTGTGATATCTGCCACATGTTTTTCAGGGTGGCCACTACAATGCTGCTCAGTGCCTACTGGCATGGTCTCCACCCAGGCTACTACCTTAGCCTAATGACCATCCCCCTCTCCCTCTGGGTCGAGACAGAAGCTAGCACCGCGTTCCGCGCACGGCTGGGCATTCGCGGCCAGCGAATGTGGGACTGGGTTCACTGCTTCTTGAAGATGCGAGCATATGACTACATGTCGGTGGGATTCTTGCTGTTGTCCTTCGAGGCCACCATTAAGTATTGGCACTCTATATGCTATGTCTACTATGTTTTGTGCGCTGTGATTCTTGCCCTATCCTTCTGTGCCAAAAAGAGTGGCTTGAGCTGCAATGTTGTTAGCAAGAATGATTGAACAGCTATGAAAATAACAACAATGTGAGGATAATGATTTAAGCAGTTCTTCTATACTATTGTTTTTACATGTTTGTACATGACATTGTATCATTGTGACTTGTAGCCTCCAGAATATTGTAGGTTCACTACGTAATTTGGTCATTTTTTTGGCGGGAACTTGTACATAAAAATTATATGTGAATACAGAATAGTTGGTTTGACTATAATTGTAGAATTTTAAAATCAAAATAATTACTTATTATCATTTCATTAAATGTAATAACATGTAGATTTGTTGTCAATATGTAATCTCATTCAACAAGATGATTGAAAATGATAGAAAACACTTGGACATGATATACATATCAAGAAGCAAAATGTATGTGGAGGCAAGAAAAGTGGACTTTCTTTGCTTGACCGTTTCTCCCTCATTTGTAGCAGTGACAATATTGCAGTAATGTGTGACCTTATTACAGTGCACATATCTGTGCATCTCTGTGATCCATGAAACTATCTCATCAAGGCTCCATTTCTCCTGCCTAATATACATTGTACAATGTACTCTTACCAGTACTTGTACACAATATATACTGTCAGTAGTATATATAGGATACATGGTTTCTATGGTAAGAATCTTGGGACAATTTAATGTCTGATATAATATTGCCTCCTTCAGACACTACCAAGTTTTTCCATAGGTTTGTTGAATCATAGGGATGTAAAATAATATATGATTGTCTATTTAGTGAGACTTAAGTTAAACCAAAAATCTATATTGATATTGAGAGATGTTTAATATGGAATTAAAATTACACTGTGTGTGTAGTCCATGGTAACTCTTGTCTTGTAAAACTGTGCAATATGTGACTGTGTTGCTGCTAGACTTAATATACAAGACTGGGAAATGATAAATAAAATTGATGAATTTCATAACTGTTTTTAACAGGAGTTCAAAACTTGAAGTAAATATTGTACAAGAATACTGACATTGTCATGTTATTGTTGTACTCCAACATGGATGCCAGATATTAGTTTCCGCGATAGTCTATTTTAGGAACTATGTAGAAATCAGGAATTGAAACTGAGTACTGGAGAAAATGAGATGAACCAATAGAATATAAAAAAATGATATATTTTGTGGTTGCAAAGTGGAGAAATATTGTAACGTTGTGTTGTTGTTTTAATGTGAAAAATGCGATGTACATGTCATTGAACTGTGTGCATTAAAGATTTTGTTTGTCAAAGAAAATGAAAAAAGGGCCTACGTGCTGATATTTTTGTGGCGTGTTGTAACATTTTGGAGTGACAGATTAAAATGCCTAATTAGAGCAAAATGCTGTTAAAGTACTGGTTTCACTTATTTGTGTGAACAAAGGAATTCCACGGTGAACACAGTTTATTTACACTTATTAAACCCTGTTTCTAAGTACATGGACCAGCGTAGATTAGGTGCAGGTAGACATCAGAAATTCCTGCACAGCTCCAACAGTGTATTTGCACTGTGTTAATATACGCCTGTGTGGCAAACTACAATCATGAAACATTTTTTTTACCTTGACAGCCGTTAGCATCTTCCATCAGCACGAAGCCCTGTCGGCAGAAGCACCTGTAGCTCCCGGGGACGTTGGTGCAGATCTGGTCACACCGGCCGTTCTCTGTCGCACATTCGTCAGGCTCTGCAAAGACATTACATGTATATTACAGAGGCAAATTCAAGATCTGAAACACCTACAGGTGTTACCTCTACAATTTTACAAGTTAAAATTTTTACAAGTTAAAATTTCCTACTGAATGCCCAAACTGTCTACATGCACCACGAAGACGGCCTCATTAACCAGTAAGGGTACCTAATGGCCTGGATTCAGGTGAATATTCAGGTGAATATAAAATTTCTTATCCAAAAGTCGAGTTAAATATTAACCCTGGGCGGGATGCACCATGTGAGGTTTGGTCCAGTATAAAATAGATGTAGATGTCTAAGGATTCCATATCAGGGCAAAAACAGTGAATTAGATATTAAATAACTCTTGAATTAGACTCACCAGTCTCCTTCTGGCCGACTAGAGGCAGACTTTCCTGGTGAACTCCGATGGTGATGATCTCCACCTTGTACATCACAGTGGGCTGGAGGCCATCAATGAGAGCAGAGCTCTCTCCTGGATCATGCTATTGTCTCGCCAAAATTGTTATCCTTTTTCTACATGATTGTACAGCTTAGCATAGTACAAAAGTAGTAAAAAAAAACACAACAAAACAAAGCATTACAACCTTAAAGTCATCCACAACTTATTACATACTTTATTTAAAAATATGTTCCTGAAAACAAGATAATTACTGTGTTGAATTGCACCTCCAAAATAAAAATGGCATATTTTATTAACATCTGAATCTCAGAAAGTTAGAAAAAAATTAAACTGAAATACATGTAATCTAAAAAATTAAACATGTAAACATGTTGGTCCATTCAACCCAGTCACTTTCTAATTATACCTGTTGCTTAGATTGCTTCAAAAATATTTTCATTGACCTAGAATTAAAAACACACCAACATTTACCATATGATGATAGCTAAACGAATACAAAATATGAAAATATTAGAATCAATTAATGTTAGACATTCAGGTAGAGGACTAAATACAAACTAAATCAAGAGCCTGAATGTTTCAGATACCTCGACTACCTTTCATCATACGTCAAATACCATCTAAAACGTCTATGAGTCTATCCAGTTGCTTGATTTTGTATTACATAAAGTATTAGTGACTCCAGGAAAACTAAATGTAACAATGTCTTGTCATTGACTTGGCCTACACATTTCAAAGTAGTCTAACATCTGTGTCCATAATATCACCAGGGTCCATAATATCACCACCTTGAGAAACAGTGTGCTGAAAGATATTTTTACTGCAACATACTTTTGGTATGCACTCCTTCACACATCAAATGTACATACCTAGGGTATGTTGCAGTAAAAATATCTTTAAGCACACTATTTCTCAAGGTGGCGATATTATGGACTATGGTGATATCATGGACACAGATGTTACATCCTTACATCATATCATACCATACTTTGCAATCTAATAGCTGCATGAAATTTGTAATTATAATAATAGGTGACCAGCACTTAATTCGTATTTTGGATGGCCTTGACAGTACTGAGGTATTCAAATCAAAGGTGTTTGGAGTTTGTAGGATAATCTCAATGAAAATTTGCAACGATGGACAAGTTTTTTTCTCTGATGCAGTATAAAAAACAAAATTACCAATCATGTATTACCATTCAGATATCAATAATTATAATAATAATAACATTACATCTGCTAACAATACATCATGATCAGAGATAGTTTCAGTATCATACAGGTGGCCATAATTCAACTCATGACACTTTGTTAAAATCCAATCTTACCTGCAGAAATACAATGTAAAATCAATAATTCATTAGTCTACTGACAGTCAAAAAATAATTGTAATTAATTTCTAAAATTGACCAGACAACAACCACCTTGTTACAATCATTTGCCCTCAGTTGGGTAACATGTACACTAAGTCTCCATCAGACTCCTTTGCAGGCTGAATAAATAGTACAAATCGGCCTAAAAAGAATGTACCGGTAGCTGGCCAGGGGAGTTGGCCAGCTATAGAGGGTCTAGTTTGCCTGCATAGATTTCCACTATTTGTTCAGCCTGCAAAGGAGTCTAGTGGAGACTATGGAAAGTTGCTTTTACACCCATACTGCAGACATTGTGGTTCTCATACAATGTAACATCTGTGTCCATAATATCACCAGGGTCCATAATATCGCCACCTTGAGAAATAGTGTGCTTAAAGATATTTTTACTGCAACATACCCTAGGTGTAAGTATGTTGCAGTAAAAATATCTTTAAGCACACTGTTTCTCAAGGTGGTGATATTATGGACCCTGGTGATATTATGGACACAGATGTTACATGTACATGTAACTGACACAATTTACCAGTGCTGTATAATTTGACAGATCGGCACATTTAAGGCATTCATTGACAGAAGCAGCTTCACAATATTGTCTTCTTTCTGCTTTTTTCTGCTACACATACAAGCCACATTGTTCTTCCATTTTTGTTCTCGATTTGAGACCCAAGAATTAAGACTATCATCCGTATAAACCTGGCACATTGAGGCATTGGTTGAATGCTTACAACATTGATTCCTGCTTTTTAGCACATTTACATGTACCTGCTACACATAAAAGCCACAATGATCCATTATTGTATCTTTGGTTGAGAGACCAATGATTAAAGCATGTCAGCAGAACGTACTGTGCCTGCATGAAACCCTGATTTTTCACGTTATTGTCGGATGTTTGGTCAACATCGCATTTGCCTGTTGCAGTTGACATCTGTTTCAACACAACATTTGGAAACTATAGACGGGATGTTAACCTTATATACACGAATACGACCTTATATGAGATGTTCTGCCAACGTGCTAAGCACAATACAGTACGATTTCGCGTAAGTCACTGCAGCAATACCTTCCCGGTCTTGAATGACTGTAACTTGTATAACATGACCTGAGGCAACATTGTGTATATTTCAATAATTTTGTATGTGTCTTTGTATATACTTTTTTGGATGTTCATGTATTGTTTCTTATGAGTGTTTTGATGTGACAAATTGTACCCAATTCAGGGGAAGCATTTGTGCCCCCCCTGCTGATGTACATTTGGAGTTATGCAATAAAGATAATAAATTCCACCTAAAAGTGCAGTATGTTCTGCTGACGTGCTTGTTCTTCCATAATTATAATTGAACCAGTGGTTGATTGTTGACCAGGACTGTCCCGGAGTTCTAGTTACTGAAGAAGAGTTTCTCCAGCTGCGCCCGCGTGTCGTCTGGACTGGTCACCGTGTGGCCGACCGTCCGAGGGTCAGCAAAAATCTCGTGGTCATTTCCACCCTATGAAGGGGAGTTACATGTTAGGACGATGAGAATGGAATATACAGTAACATCTGTGTCCATAATATCTCCAGTGTGCTTAAAGATATTTTTACTGCAATTTGAGGTGTGCAGGAGTGCATACCAAAAGTGTGTTGCAGTAAAAATATCACTAAGCACACTGTTTCTCAAGCTAGTGATATTATGGACCCTGGTGATATTATGGACACGGATGTTAGTTGCTTGTCAACATTTTCTATACTGTTATACTGTATAATAATCATGCAGTTAATAAGTAATTTTTCATTTCTGTACGAAAACATAAAATGGCATCATTCCTCAATCAGCAAATATTTCATGGTCAGTTTACCACCCTGGACAGGGGAGTTAGACGTTAGGACAATGAGAAAAGAATATACAGTAGTTGCTTGTCAACATTTTCTTCTACACTGTATAATCATGCAGTTAATAAGTAATTTTTCATTTCTGTATGAGAACATAAATGGCATCCTCAATCACAAGGAGTGATGCTTGGCTAAGGGCTTTGCCCAGTAAAATAGAATAGATTATAGAATAGAATAGAATAGAATAGAATAGAATAGAATAGAATAGAATAGAATAGAATAGAATAGAATAGAATAGAATAGAATAGAATAGAATAGAATAGAATAGAATAGAACAGAATCACCTTTTAATTGTGCCATTTGATTTGCTCAAAATTGTTTTCTATTACAGGCTCTAAACAAAACAAAACTTGAATCTCATATTTCTGCAAATTTCCAAGAAAATATGTGAGTGCAATACACTACGTTAAGTATTTATGAATACCATATATATATAAATGTTCACAGAAAATCATGACCAAAGAACTACTGACAAGACTCACTGTTATAAAATACACTACATGTATAACACCATGGTCAATATCTATCAGAATTTGATGTATATATAATTCTTACAGCCATTGTCTTGTCCCCAAAGAAGTGGATGGTTTTGAACCCATCCTTCTCCACATGGTTCAGACAGTAGGTTTTGTCCCAGCCTTTTGGGAAGGCATCGATACTGATCTGTCCACCTGCAGGGTACAAACATAGCAGAAAGGTTTCAGAAGACTTTAGTACAGTACAGTTAACTTAGTTATCTCTAGTATGGGCTGTATGGCAATACCAGTAGTTAGAAACCATCCCATTCACCATGGGAAAAAGCATGGTGGGTCTCCAACTCACTCTGAAATGTCCAGACAAGGCCAACCCTCACCAAGATATGGTCAACTCTTCCCCTAAAACTGTGTACTCCCAATGGTTTTTACTGAGTCATACATTCTGCAAACTATGAAGTCAAAAAATGAAAGAGAACAGTGCTGAAAGACAAATAACAGCAAAACAATGTTGGTTTCTCCCTAAATGCTCAGTAATACATTCTGCAAACATTAACAACAAAAAATGAAAGAGAAGAACTGTACAGTACTGAAAGACCAATACAGCAAATATTCAACCTATCTTCTAGCCAAACTCCTTTCTTGAATGGATCTCTGTACAGTTAGAGTTAGTTTCTCCCCTAAGGCTATAAGTATGGCAATACCAGTAGTCAGAAACCAGCCCATTCACCATCCAAAGAGCATGGTGGGTCTCCAACTCACTCTGAAATGTCCAGAGAAGGCCAACTGTCACCAAGAGATACGGTCAACTCTTCCCCAAAAACAGTGTACTCCCAATGGTTTTTACTGAGACATACATTCTGCAAACTATGAAGTCAAAAAATGAAAGAGAACAGTGCTGAAAGACAAATACAGCAAAACAACAGGACGATATAAACTCCCTGGCACTTTTGATCAATTGCTTATGTCACGTATCAGTAAAGTCTCGTGTGAATAAGGTCACGTGTTTGTAAACCTCATGTTGTGAAGTGATTGGTCATTAATTATCCTGATGAAGGCGACAGTGGTCATCCAAAATTTGATCGCTCTGTAACCTGTGTGTTGGAATAAAGTTCAATGTTTTACTACAATTACTACCAACACAGATGAATTTTCATGAAAACAATGTGAGTTTCTCCCCAAATGCTCAGAGGCTCACCTATGGAGAAGACCAGTCCTGCATCAGGAAACTGTTTCCGCAGGTCGGCTACAAACGTCTCCCTGATCTTGTGTTCCTGAATAACAACAAAACAAGTAATATTATCAGAGCTCTACATGTATACAAATACAGCAGATCAACATGTACAAAAGATGTTTTAAACTATGTTAAAAACACTAGTGTTGAAAAGGTATTTTATGTATCTGTTTGCAATTGATTTATGTGCTATCTGTGGCCTACTCAATCTTATCTATCTTATACAATCTTATCCAAACCACAAGATCACCTTTCTACATGTACCATTCAGTGTTGTATGACTTTGACCTGACTTTTTGAGTGTTGTATGAGTGCCCTAGCATATAGCCCGACTACTTGACTGTTAAAAGAGCACCCCCTACCTGGCCATACCGGTTAATCCTCTCCTTTGATTTGATAGGCTATTATACACCAGAGTGTTAAAAGAGAGCCCCTATAGCCTGACTATTATTATCACTAGACTGTTGAAAGAGCGGCCCCTACCTGATCATACTGGTTAAACTCTATACTCTCCTGTGATTTTGTAAGGTTATATACACTAGAGTGTTGAAAGAGCCTGACTACTATGTACTAGTCTGTTGTATGAGATCCCCCCACCTGGTCATACTGGTTAAACTGTATCCTCTCCTCTTGTGAGCAGCTCCGTCCGACCGGACAAACATTGATGAGGCCACTGCGGAACTCAATAAACGTCCCTCTGTAGAACAAAAATTAGTGTTCTGATGTAACATCTGTGTCCATAATATCACCAGGGTCCATAATATCGCCACCTTGATAACTAGTGTGCTTAAAGATATTTTTACTGCAACATACCCTAGGTATGTACATTTGATGTGTGAAGGAGTGCATACCAAAAGTATGTTGCAGTAAAAATATCTTTAAGCACACTGTTTCTCAAGGTGGCGATATTATGGACCCTGGTGATGTTATGGACACAGATCTTAACAGTCACTTAGTTTTAGTTACTACTAGAGAAATGTGCTGTTTCAAAGACTGTATGTTGGAGAAGAAGGGAGAGAGAGAAATTCCTGATGCAGTTGTCGGACCTAATAGCAGACCTTTCCCATGATAAATACAGTACATCGAGTGTGTCAATGTAATACTTATAGTAAGTTAGGACTTTATACACGTACTAGTAACATCCTTGGTTAGAATGATTCTTTGTGGTGCCAAACGGAGGAAGGTTTGAACCCATAGTCGCTATTTGACCTTTCCGACAGCTTGCATGACACTCAAAAGTTGTTTTTGAGGGGTTGAAAAATGAATGTACAGCTCTATGCCCATCCCTACCTCTTAACTGGCAGTGTCAGTTTGGACATATACTGCAGACAGAAGTTGATAAAAGTCTGTAGCTTCTCTTCTCCCATGTGCTCCTGGATGTTCTGGGAAACAAGGTGAAACAACATTCATGAAAGTTCATCTGTGTTGGTAGTTACATGTTTAAAGTTAAAACTTTTAGTCCAACACAAAAAATTCTCTCACCTAGAGCTTTCGACCAGTCACTCTGGTCTTCCTCAGTAGACTGACCCCATCTACCAGATACCTTTGACCCAGTGTTGACGTCATACTTCAAAGAGGTCAGATGACAAGCTTCACTGGGTCAGTCTCCTGAGGAAGACCAAATTAAAGTGACTGGTCGAAAGCTCTAGGTGAGACAATTTTTGTGATGGGCCAAAAGTTTTAACTTCAAACATGAAACAACCTTAGTGTGAAATTTTGACTAGACTACGATACCTAAGTCAGCTGGCTACAAGATTAAACCAGATAGTTTCCCTGTGATTTTTTTTAATAGATAGTTTTCTTACTGTCTTGGACATGTACATGCACTTCTATCAAACATTCAAATTGTAAGAAATGTGTGAAAGTGACCAATACCATCTTTGCCAGAAGTTTCCCGTCTTTGTAGGCCACCAGCCCATTCTCAGCAAACACGTAGTCAAACTTTTTCACAACTAGATGCAGATGAGAGGAAAATCACATCATTAGAACATTGCTTCTAGTCCAATTCTTTCACACAAACACTGTTATCAAAGTTGTAAAATTCTTACAGAGGGTGCTAAGGTTTAAAATTCAGATGTCTGATCAAAAATGTCATAGCCATTTGAGGAATCAGACCCCCCCACCAGACCCTCCTACAGACATAACACCTACCGTCCTCTCCTTTCATCTGTTCAGCGATTTTGACGAAGTCAGACCCCCACCAGACCCTCCTACAGACATGAAACACCTACCATCCTCTCCTTTCATCTGTTCAGCGATCTTGACGAAGTCGGACCCCCCCACCAGACCCTCCTACAGACATGAAACACCTACCGTCCTCTCCTTTCATCTGTTCTGCGATTTTGACGAAGTCGGATCCCCCCACCAGACCCACCACCACCTTTTCCTTCAGCTGCATCAGAAAACCCTCCATAGAATCCGTGATTCTCTGCAATGGAATGTAACATTAGGTTTGGTGTTCACTATAATGCATTTAAATTTTAATTAAGAAAATGTGGGTATCGTTCAAAATGTTAGTCTTTATTCATAGTAATTTTGCAAATCATTAGAAGATATACAGATTTTTGTTTTTTGTTTTAATCACAATAATGATAATTCTGGCATATTCATTAACACCTGTGCGAAGTGAGGAAAGTCGTGTTTTAACTTAAATAGTTAAAAGTCCTTTTCCAAAGGACTCTCAGAGCCAAATGCTCTGCCGTTACGCCACACAACCCCACAGGTCTAGATGTTCAAAACGATAATTTTTTTCATCAAATTATAACGTAAATTCAGAATCAGAAAAGGAAAATATTTAAGTATGAAAAAAACTTATCTACTGTATAAATTTGAATTCAACTGAATTCAACCCCTCCCTTTCTGAAACCAGGACCCTATAAACTATGGATACGTGAGTTTGCATACAGTATGCAGGTCTTACTAAGCAGTTTGGGAACCACATAAACATGTTTACCGCAAGGGTCGGTTCAGTTCTGTCAATCTACAACCAAAAATCCTTGAACTCTGCCACACCCCCGAACACACCTCCCGTTCTGACCAATCACAGCCGAGTATCTGGAGTCACTGAAGGTCATAGTAGTTCAGAACTAAAGCATTAACGTTATTTTAGTGCAACTACATGCTTATTTACTGACGAAAATAGATAGAAACGAACACTTTTGAGGACAGGGGATGCTTTTTTCATTAATGAGAGACCTGCAAAAATCGCCACGGGTTTCATAAAAACCCCAAATTCCGGCTGACGCAAGCGCTAGAGAGAACCTTGCCACGTCAACTAATTATTCGGGCCTTGAGTTAGAATCAAACCACTTCCTCTTTCGCTAAGTCTGATTTTTCGCGCCCAATTTATAAAGCCAGGAGACAAGCAAGACTTCCACATCTTCCCAATAAGGTTAACAAGCCTTGAAGCGTACCCTGGAGAAAATTATGCACACTGGGAGCGCTCAGAAAAAAAACTGACCGAGCCAAGCGTATACTTTAACCGTAGTCAGGAAAAACAGACTACACTGCAAAGCTCAGATGCATGTTTCGACCAAGCCGACGGGCTCTCTTCCCAGTTTTACCTGTCTAGCTGCCGTCAGGGTGCCGTCTACGTCGAATAGACACAGTGTGGAAGTGTCTCTGGAAGCCATGGTGCCCGCTAGTGCTCTCTAGGTCGCCTGGAATGAGCAGAAACGAAGTTTACGTGCGTCGCTGCTAGTGTGATCGTGAATGTACACTTTTCAGGTTATACCATTACTGGGTAGGGGGCATATAAAACTTGGAAAGCTTATACCTAAAATATAACCAAATGTGAAAGAAATTGGTTATAATATAGTAAAATAACCTATTATACTGACTAGTACAATTCTTAAAATCATGCCGATATTTGTAAAAAAAAGATATTTATTAAAGAATATTATCTTACCTACCCCTATAGAATAGTAACCGATTCTGAACATCAGCTGATGGGGGGATGGGAGCAAAGGTCAGATTGTGCCCCTGATTCCCCTGATATTTACACTGTACGCGGCCTGACCAGGTTGCACGTACACGTGGTGGACTTTGGTACAGAAAACAGTCAGCAACGTTTTTATGACCTTAGAGTGAACAGTTCAATAGATCATTTTATGAACAGGATTGAATAAAAAGTTACAGACTTTTTATTTTATCTTCGCGTGTGCATCATATTGTGAGTAAGTTTACGCATATATCTGTCCAAAAGTACATATGATTAGAGTGATTTTGGGAAATATCTGCATGTTAGGAATTATCATAAGCTACTGATTTTTGTGTGCGGTTTGCTAAAGCCACGTATTCACTGACAGGGCTACAGGTACCCGCTGCATTCACTCGTTGCTCCGCTTGGTGTCGCTGTGAAGTTACTAATACTTATAACGTACATCGATGGCGGTGAAAAGTATCCTTGCAAAGACGCAAGCACAGTTTAACCAAAACATACAGTACTGAGTCTGCTAGAAGTTACATGCCTAGTTTCTACTGGTCATCAAGCCATTCTGTACAAGACCTGGTCCTCAGACTGTACATTTTCATGCACAAGTTTCAATGGGGGAAATCTGCCACCATTGTGCTGGAGTTAAATCAACAGAAGTTCAATATTAGAAAAAAATTAGAATACTGAGGCCTGAACATTCAAACCATAGGGATTATGATGTTATAGCATATTGATAATTCAACGGCGCATGTTTACATCTACCTTTCTATAGGTGTATATCAGAACTACAAGGTATATCTGCTGACGCAGAAATGAGAGAATGATCAACAAAAGTCTTGGTCGCTCTCTCTCTCTCTCTCTCTCTCTCTTTCTCTCTCTCTTTGCCTCCTTCCTTACATTACTCTCCCACCCCTCTCTCTTTTGTCTTGAGATATTCAGTCATTCATTTTCTTTTGTTTATGTTCCTTTCCTTCCTTTCATGTTTTCTTCTTTCTTCCTTTCTCTCGCTTGTTTTCTAGAAACAGCCGGTAGGAACATTTTGAAGCCGATGTAAGGAAAGCGCCTTAAAGTTGTTGTCAACATCAAGACCATTGAAGTTATAATGGAAGTACAGAGAGGTGTTTTTCTTTCAGAGTGTATCAACAAACTGAAGATTTTATCGCTGGTTGGTCTCTAAATCTTACAGGTCTTACAGACTAAAGCCGACGAAATCTTTCTCAACAGAGCTTCGGATTGAAGGCTTCTCACATCATTTAGACCTGTGACGCTGTTTATTTGTATCCCTTCAGCCGAGTGTCCTTGTGGGCAGGTCTTGTTGAGAAACACAATAAACTAACACATAAAAAGAACAAGAAAGCTCTTTTATCCACAGGTTTTCTTAATGGTAGCTTCAGTGCTTCGTTGCGATTCTTGGCGCCCGCCACACAGACTATAGTGACGACTGAATTGTCAGCAATATTCAAGCGTCCAGAACGGCGGTAAACATGACGTAGTTGTCTACACAGCAACGCACTGTGTTCTTCTCAAGGACACGCACCCCTTGGCCGTTCGGTGAACTTTGGCAAGACCTTTGGGCGTCTTGAAGACACTATACACAGGTGGTCGACGTCTTTCTTGAACCTTAAGTGAAAGACCCACTCGCACTGGGTTCTGTTTCTTCTTATGGACTGCATCACACGACAACGTTAAATCAAACGTTAAACTTTAGTTACGTTTTTTGCCTTTAAAAATTTAATTACGTTTTTTTCCTTTAAAAGTTGCTCAGAATAATCATTCTTTGGACGGAGAAAAGTGGAATTTCAATACGTTTCGCACTTGTTTCCGTACGATTACGTGTTTTCGACGCACACGTCCGTCCTCTGTAATGTTTCTTGCAGTATTTTACATTCCATTTTCCGTTCTGAGGCACGGGATCCCTTCCCTTATGTCAAGCCATATGTTATCTGTGAGTTACTAATAGTACGAAGCATTAGCGCTCTACCACTATTACAGACAAAATTTCAAAATTTTACATACACACGTTTGAGTCAGCTTTACGCCTGTACCTGTACCTGTACTGGCATATACAGACGCGCTTTTGGGTCAACTCTTTCCATTTTCGTCTGTACCTGTACCTAGTCTCCATGCACATTAACCACAGCACAGTGTAATACCTGTGTGGACACACAGAGAGAGTACAACACAGTTTTATTTCCCGGCTCTTTGCTTTTTAATAATATCAAAGAGAAGCCCCCATACTTCGAACACCTAAATGCAAACGATAAATTTAGATTTTTGATGCGCCTAGACAAACCCTGTATCACAAACATGATCTGTATAGTTTTCTATATACGTTTGTTATGTGTCTGTTAAGTCTTGACCTGTACCTAGTCCGTCGTGGCATGAATGTACAATAAAGGTATTTCATTATCATCATCATTATGATGTTTCAATAGGACAGATCTAGAGGGCGACCCGCCGCGACTGCACGCACATTAACCACAGCACAGTGCAAGACCTGTTTGGAAACACACAGAGAGCACACTACAGTTTTATTTCGCGGCTCTCTTAAGCCCGTCAGCAGACAGCGGCACGCCTAAACACCGTGACGGGGGCAGCCGGGAGCGGTGTGAGGGCTCTCCTTGTACCGCCTTCCCCGGACAATCCCGGCCCTGTACAGCCGAGCCTTCATGTTTACCAACACGGTGAAAGGAGGTAGCCAGTCTGTCTGATGGCGGCGAAAACATGGAGAAAAGAGGACACAGCGGCATCACTGTGCCTTCTGTACCGGCAGGCGAAGAGAAGGTGGCCTCTACCAGGCTTCGGGAGGCGGCAGGAAAGAGTAGAAATTGGCCAAATAGAGAGATAAACATGTCAGGGGAGTTAGTCCGCTTGAGAGAGCGGGTGCGGCAAATTGTACTCTGTAGCGGACCAACTCCCCTGGCATGTTATCTCTCTATTTAACCAATTTCAACTCTTTTCAGCCTCCTCCCGAAGCCTGGTAGAGGCTAGCGAGAAGGGCCGGTCACGCGCGCTTCAGAGCGAGCAGAGATATACATGCTTCTCAAGGGCCTCTTCAAGTGGTTACTCGGAACCGACGGTACATCGCCTCCCAACCACCGTGTAACCGAGAGGGGAGGCTTCGGAGAGTAGATCTGACGCACTAACCTTCCTTGCTACCTAGGAGCTTTCATCAGCTCTTTTGTGATATACCCAGACAGTTCTTAGAAACAGCACAGGAGGTGGTAGGCATACCTCACTGTGCTTGGTGTGGTTTAACTTTGAATTTAATTGGAATTGGAGTTCATTCGAGTTCAACCTCTCCTTAATTTAGCTGTCTACCTATAGTATAACCAAAGAGATTTAAATGAGACCTCCTTGCTATAATTAAGTGCATGACAGCTAGTTTTCCGACAGAAGACACAAATATATAAAAGACATAGATAAGGCTAACATAAAATTACATCACATACAACAAGTATTTAAAAATAAAAAAGACACATGTGCTATACGTTTCTTGAGTGCCATACGAGTCTTTCTTTTATGTGCTCTAGTTGTCCTTGCTTGAAATTCCCAAGTTGTTTGTATATACTTATCTCGTGCGTACAGCTAAGATATGTTTGGGGATGTTCGAACCACACCATTTCCATAACCATAACTAAAATTATTCCGATCATTGCATCTCTTTATTGTAATTATCCATAGGCGCAGGAGGTTAGACCTTCTTGATAGGTGTATATCAGAATGTATATCGTGTGGCGTAGCGGCAGAGTGCTCGACTCGGAGCCAAGAGGTCCCGGGTTCCGGAATCCTGACATGCCACCAATCTTGTGCCCTTGGGAAAGGCACTTCACACGACTTTCCTCACTTCGCTCAGGTGAAAATGAGTATTATATTGTCCCCTGTGTTGGTGGCGGCATTAATATAAGTTGAAAAAAAAACTTGATTGTGTCGTCACCACGTCTTGTGATTACATGTTGGAATATAAAAAAATGTATATCTGTTGACGAAGAAAGTCCCGGCCCCTTACGTGGAACACACAGCTGCTTCTTTTCTCTCCGATTCGCACCCTCGGGCGCTCCAAACACGGACTTTAGAACCCGGGACGGACAAAGTAGCTTTCACCTGACCCGAACACATCCGCACATAATCTCCAGTCCTGAAAAAAAGTCCAGCGGAAGTGGGAACAACGAAAAACCTAGCCTCCGTAGCAGGCTTATAGAACTGGGGGGTTTGGTGGTCTTCGGCTGTTTTCTGATTAGCCTCCGTAGCAGGCTTATAGAACTGGGGGTTTGGTGGTCTTCGGCTGTTTTCTGATTAGCCCAAGTCTCAAAAACGGGGGTAATTCAACCAGGCCGGCTATGTTGTCCATATGCAATCAGAAAATAGCACATAAAAGCTCCCAAAGACCATGAAGACCCCCAAAACCCCCAGTTTTTGGCATGCTATAGAGGCTAAACACATCCGTAGTAATCTCCAGTCCTGAAAAAGTCCAGCGGAAGTGGGAACAACACAAAACCTTCCGAATCGCCCCAGGTGGAACAACTCCACTCCAGAACACCGCCATAGAATTCCTCCCGCTTTCAACGCGCGTCCCCAATAGGGGATTGGCCGGTAATTCGCGCCAATACGCACTTTAGACAAACCTTTGTGGCTGCCACATAATAGCCTCCATAGCAAGCCAAAAACTGGGAGTTTTTTT